GTTTTTCATTACCTATTTGTTCTGCACCTCAAACACAGTTACCTTGTTCTCAATGTTTGATTAATAAGAGCCACAAATTACCCTTCACAAATTCTACAATCACCTCACAACGACCTCTTGAATACATTTTCAGTGATGTATGGTCCTCCCCCATAACCTCTGTTGATAACTTCAGATATTACCTGGTTTTCATTGATCATTACTCCAGATATACATGGCTGTATCCACTCAAAAAGAAATCTCAAGTCAAGGAGATTTTCATTGCTTACAAGAGACTCGTGGAAAATAAGTTCCAGACAAAGATAGGAACTCTGTTTTCAGACAATGGCGGTGAATATATAGCTTTGAGAAGCTTCCTATCCGAGAATGGCATTGCTCATTTAACCTCACCACCTCATACACCTCAACATAATGGCATCTCAGAAAGGAAACATCGTCACATTGTTGAGACTGGCCTCACTTTACTATCTACGGCTTCCATCCCAACTGAGTATTGGACGTATGCATTCACGACTGCGGTATATCTCATTAACCGACTTTTATCACCAACTATCTCTATGGAATCTCCTTATCAGAAATTATTTGGAGCCTCACCAAACTATGAGAAGTTACGAGTCTTCGGCTGTTCATGTTTTCCCTGGCTACGTCCATACAATTCGCATAAGCTCCAGTCACGCTCAACAAGATGTGTCTTCCTCGGATACTCAACAACCCAGAGTGCATACTACTGTCTTGATGTCTCTACTGATCGAGTTTACACTTCTAGACATGTCCAGTTCATCGAAACAGAGTTCCCTTTCAATGCCCTCACCAAAATGAAACAATGTCACCAGGAAAAACCTCTTCAATCAAGCTCATTCACTCCACCACCCACAACAATACCGATGGCAACAACGGGACCCACGGCTGAGGAACTTCACCACCACCACCCTGCAACGCCATTAGACACTCAGGTATTGCCTTCTAACCCTCCAAATACCTCTGCTTCTCCCTCCGAGCCTACTGCTCATTCTCAAAATGAGTCACAACCCATGACTCAGACACCCCGATCGCCTAATGAGCCCACTGCTCAAGCACAAAATGAGTCGACACCCACGGCTCAGACCTCACCAACAAATAACCAACAAACTACCTTGCCTCCACAAGCCAATGAACCACAAATAACACAACCTGAGCCACTACAAAATATCCACAAAATGCAAACTCGAGCCAAAAATAAAATCACAAAACCAATCCAAAAACTCACTCTTACTATTGCAGGAAGAAAGCATGACTCCACAGACCCAACAACAATCTCTCAAGCTCTGAAACAAGAAGACTGGCGACAAGCAGCAATGGCTGAGTTTGATGCACATATTGTCAATCACACATGGGATCTTGAACCACTTGATGAAGCGCAAAATGTTATTGACTGCAAATGGCTTTTCACAACAAAATACTTAGCAAACGGCACTGTGGAGAGACGTAAAGGACGCCTCTGCGCAAAAGGATTTACACAACGGTTTGGAATTGACTACTCAGAAACTTTCAGTCCGGTTATCAAGTCCACAACAATTCGTTTGGTCATCCAAGTGGCAGTCACATGCTCTTGGAGAATAAAGCAACTAGACATCAATAACGCGTTTCTACAAGGTGAGCTAACAGAAGTGGTATACATGAGACAGCCACCTGGATTTATTGACAAGGACAGACCTCATCATGTATGCCGCCTGCGCAAACCCATTTACGGACTCAAACAAGCTCCCCGCTCTTGGTATCTGTCGCTTAAACATCACTTACTCACCACTGGTTTCACCAACTCAAGTGCGGATGCCTCTCTCTTTGTACATTCCCAAGGTTCGACAATAATCTATGTGCTTATCTACGTTGACGATATTCTTGTTACTGGTAATAATGAAGCTTTGGTGGAGAGGGTTCTACAAATGTTTGCAGCAAGGTTCTCCATCAAAGATCCCACTGATCTTCATTATTTCCTTGGTATACAAGCAACACGTTCAAAACAAGGCCTCCACCTGATGCAAGAAAAATACATCAATGATCTCCTCCATAAGAACAACATGTCAGACGCCAAGCCGGTATCCACACCACTGCCATCCACGACAAAACTCACTCTCAAAGGAGGTACTCCTCTTGATGATGGTTCTCAATACCGATCAGTTGTTGGCGGATTACAATACCTTTCATTCACCCGACCAGACATCGCATATGCTGTCACCCGCCTATCGCAATTCATGCACCAACCAACTACTGAGCACTGGCAAGCTGCAAAACGTGTACTTCGATATCTTGCAGGTACTCGTACTCATGGTATCTTCTTCCGCACCAATACACCGATGAGGTTACATGCGTTCTCAGATGCAGATTGGGCTGGTGACATGGATGATTATATCTCCACGAATGGCTACATCATCTACTTCGGCCATAACCCCATATCATGGTCATCAAAGAAGCAAAGAGGAGTAGCACGATCTTCTACAGAGGCGGAGTACCGGGCAGTAGCAAATACAGCTTCAGAGGTAACATGGTTGTGCTCTCTACTCTCTGAACTCCGAATTGATCTAGAGTGCCCACCGGTTATTTATTGTGACAATGTCGGAGCTACTTATCTATGTGCAAATCCGGTCTTCCACTCTAGGATGAAGCACATTGCTTTAGACTACCACTTCACAAGAAATATGATACAAGCAGGGAAACTAAGAGTTGCTCACGTATCTACACGAGACCAACTCGCAGACACGCTAACAAAATCGCTTCCAAGAAACCAATTCCAGCTAACATGTGCCAAGATTGGAGTGACAGCAGCCCCTCCATCTTGAGGGGGCGTATTGAGGATATTATAGTTAAGGACTTATATTGTAAATATAATAACCTAGTATCCTCTCTTTGTACTAGTATAAATACTCTGTATAGTCTCTAATAATATTCAACACTTTCCATAACATCTATACTATATAGCTCAAGCACTTAGTTGAGATATTGTAATAGTTAAGTTCTTGGCCAGCGTGAATACTTTTAGAACTTGTATACTAATGAAAAATTCTTGTATCACGATGTTAAGATAAAATGAATCAACTCTTATTGCCTTTTTCTGTTCAAGTTGACCAGTTACATATAAAAACAAAAGAAAATTGATATAGTGGAAATTCACCGATATTACTGAAAACATGACACTGATTATCTTCTTGATATATGAAAGAAAACTGACAAAAGGGAAGATAACAATTAGTTATTACTTGATGCGATCTTTCTATGTATCATGGTTTTGCTTTAAGCGTCTGCGATCGATTGAGAGTGCAAGAAGCAGAGTCAATTCACTCAGTTACACCAATATATTATTATTTTTGTTATGATAAATCAAAAATTTGTAATAATATGTATTATGTGTCATATTCTCCATGATTTTTAAGTAATTTTGTTTATTTCTTATATTTTTAGTATTAATTTTTTGTCATATTTTTATTACTTTTAGCTAACTCATTAATTTGAATAATCTATATTATATATATATCTCTACTATTATATAGCTATATATTTAGTTAAAAATATTCATAATAACAAATTAATGAAAATAAATAAATATATCTTAGGAGTCATGCCAATAATTTATTCAAGAATGAAAAGATCAACTATTTTCAGTTCTCACGATAATGCCAAACTTTCTTCCATGATCCTATCATGTAGCCATTAAGAAATTCCCATAAGAAATATATGATTTATTACCATTAACAAATAATTAAATTTACTTATTAGATCATATAAATACTTGCACATTAATATAATGAAAATTACACAGAAAAATAAAAAGGATAATATATATATATATGTTGTGTGGTTATCTGAAAACACTGGTTTTAAGTAATAAAAATTTAAAAGAAAACTGAAAGATTCATCAATCAAATACTAGTCATGGAAAAAATGAATTTGTATAATCAAAAAGAGAATATTCTTTGATTTCAGTGAATTTAGTTATATTTATTAATTATTACTGAACTTAGTGTATAAAGAAAATTTTCAAAATATTATAATACATGAAATGATTTTTACAAAATGTAACGCAATAATAATAGGCATATATGTTTTGAGTGGAAACTTTATCATATAGAAGTAATTTAATGTTCAGGTTAAACTTATAATAACCTGTAAATTATAATACATATATTAATAAGTAATTATAATATCATTATCTTCGTATGTGCATCCAAAACATCTTATTTCATATAATTATCATTAGATGTGTGTTGATGATAGGAAAATGTGGAAAATAAAAGAAACCTTCAACTTTCGTCAAGGAAAAAAAATAAAGGTGGACAAATTCGGAGAATATAATTTACAGATTTTGAAGCCTTATTATATAATGTTTGTTTCACGAATTATATGTCTTAAAAAGTGATTGGAACTTGGTTCCGTATCATGTCTCTCCTCTCCCACACTCTCTCTATATCTACACTGCATTATCAATCTGCTTTAATTCTGTAGACAGTATTCTCTAGCTCCTCACCTATCATTGAAAGAATTGTGTGCACACCTTATCATGTTTCTGTGTTTTGTTATTACGACCAATTAATCGGAATTATACGTACTATTCTTTAATATAACTATAGAAGCATGAAAAAGAAAGATAAGAAGGCCACACGCTATGTTACGTTAAGTCACTCGTCTTATGATTAAAATTGCATCATATATTCCTTAATAAACATTGGTTCCATGAATCCACTAGTAATTTTTTTTTATGGACTCACCAATTTATTCGAATCGTAAAAGGTTACTTGCCATAAATAATAATACTTTTCTTCTATCTCCTCTAAAGAAGCATCTTCTTTTTTTAGGATGGGGAGGTTGTTGGATTAAGCTTTAATTTACTGTAAAAGCTAAAAGTTTTTTTTATAAAACACATAATAAACTAAAATACTGAGTAACTTGCTTTTGCATTGAGATCGCTATTGGCTGAAATTATTCCCACGGTGTGATCAAGTGAAGTTCTTTTTATTTATCTACTAGGCAGAATCTTCATGTTCAAACCCCATGAATAATCAAGTACATCATGATAATAGATACTATCATAAAATAACTATGCTACTCATAATTATACTAACTAATCGATCAAATTTTATAGCTAGTGACATTAATTAATCGATTCGGAAGTAGTAGGATCAAAAGCTCCATGTGCTTGGATTATGATCATCTCCAGGAGCGTCCAGTTCACAAGGAAAAGAAATCAGATTAGACATTGCTTCGTGAAGCCATCCATCGTCGTTTTCCATCTGCTAAAATTGTGATGCAATATTGTTACTTAGCTCTAAAATTGAATATGTAAATAATATACTGCTCTGGAATAATAATAACATGAATTTATAATACCTGGATTAGATAGTCCTCTGATCCAGAAAACATATTTTCTTCTTTTTCAGGATTGTTGTTGTGATTCTTAGACATGTGAGATTGTTGTTCACATGTGTCATTGTTTCTAGCAAATCGTCCTCGGACACGAACACGCCGGTCAGCTAGGGTTTTACGACATACATACTGCATACATGTTGTATTTTTATATCTCTAGTCTTTCAAAGTTAATGAATATTAAAAATAAAATATAAATTTTACTAATATACCTACCTTGATGGTCTTATTGAAGTTGCGCTGCTCCTTCTTTTTCAAGTACCTTATGATTCTGTCTTTACGTTCTTCAACTGTATACCGTCCCACTTTTGTGTTCTGCTCAGCTTGTATCACTCCTTCACTATTTCCCTGTTTTCATACAAATTTTTTTCTTCGATTTCATTTCTGTTGAATAATTAATATACATTTAAGATGGGATAGTATTTGAACGTGCATATATACCCAAGATTGCTCTCCAAAGGGCTTGATCTCAGGTGAAAAGCCGTAGTAGTCTTGATCACCACCATGAAAATATTGTGTGTTGTTCACACCCATTTGCTGGTAATAATTATTGTACTCCGGCACAAAAACGTCAGAAGTCTCAAAAACTCGAGGGGAAAATGTGGATTCTGGGTTAGAAGATGTGTTGAATGAGCCGTAACTGTTATTGAAGTAATTGGCTAGAGCTGAGACATCAGGACATGACGAAGAGCCGTGAAACTGGGAAGAAGTCTCGCCAGAAAATGTGAAGTCCGTGTAGAATTGAGGAAGAGATGATGCCATGAAAGAAACGAGTTTTTATAATTAGTTGGGGTTGTTTTAAGGAAATGAGAGTGTGCAAGAGTGAATATATATAGAGATGAGTTTGTGTGAGATGTTATTACAAGTTGTTCTTTTGTTTGGTTCGGGCAGCCTGACCGAACACACCAGACTTGCAGTTAATTAGTGAGACTCTGCTCTGTTAATAACTTCTTACACTCTCTTTTCATGCTGTCAATGCCTCTTTCTGTTCTTTTATTATTACCTTACTCATCTTGATTATTACCAGCTCATTCTTTCTTTTTATGTTTTAACTGTTTCTGTTTTCGTATTTTTTCACGTTTCTCTCTAAATTCATCGACCTCTTTTTGCTTAGTTAAGTTATAGATCTCCCTTTTTGTATATCCGTTGCTAATAAATAACATATTCTTTATGATGTTTTTTTTTGGATTAACCTAGGAGGTATCCTAGGCCATAAAGAGACTCAGACTAATCTTTTAAATAGAGGTGTTAGTTGACCAGAATAATTGTGACTTAATTTCGCGTAGCAGGTAGGTCGAACCTGAAACATGTTGGTGTCTCGATCTCGTCTCCTTATCACTCGACCACAATCACCTGGTCTTTTTATGATTTTCAACAAATGACAAATGGTGAAACGATCAATGTTTTTTAAACCATATAGGTTGTGTTTTTGTTTCTCATGAATTTATCAATTGATAAAGGTGTCCGCAACAAGACCAATTTGATGAGTAAGAAGGAGAAGCCTATGCAGTTTTGGTTTCAAACTAGATTGTAAATAGTTTTTTTTTTTTAAGGATTGCGAGTTGTGGTTGTGTATAGCTCCTTGAGTATAAAAGATGCATTAGATTATATAAAAACTTTTTTGTTGAAAAAATTTAACATTCATTAAGAAAAAAAATTATCATTTGACATGTACATTCTTCTAATATTATATATTTCCAGATGCTTATTCGGTTCGCAGGTGTGTGACAGATTGGTAATGGTTAAACTATAAAATTCTAGAATGCAATCTGAATTATAAGAAGAATCTAGATGTGTTTTTTTTTTAAATAAGTAAATCTGAATTATAAACTAATGTTACAGTAAATGAAGATGTAGGATGGTGAGACATTTGATAATGGAGCACAACCGAATATTAGTTATCTAATTTAAGCCACACCATTTGTCTTCAGCTACCAATTTTCTTGTCTCATCATTTTTTCTTTTAAACAGAGAATAATGTTTTCGCGTTATGGCAAATGGCCGTACAAAACACACACACCCTATGAAAACTACGTAAAGGGAAACCCTACCGGTAGCCACAGAATCTTAGCACATGTTCTTGTAATATTTTGCACCATTTTAAATTATTAGTTACTCGCTCTGGTTACATAATTATAGTGCTATTGCATAACAACCATATGCATGCTTCTATTTCAATTGATAGACTCTGGTTACAGAATTCTAGTGCGATTGCATAACAACCATGCATGCTCCTGTTTTCTTGATTATGCAAGTTTTGATACCTAAACTCTACTGGCAAATGTTTTTTTGTTAGCCCCCAAAACTCAAATCTTTTACCATTTCTTGATCCACCAAAGCTCTTCAACCATCCTTCTACCACGAGTCTTGTAAACAAGAACAAAAATGAGACTACCAAAAATCAAATAAGGCTAGTGAAAAGATATATATGAGATCATAAGCATAGTTATTAAATACGGAGGTCGGCCTCCAAAAACATGTTCAGTGAGATAGGAGATTCGAAGAAAGATGATGGATGGGTCATGACATGACTGAATATGCATTCAAAGATTAAAGACATTTTCTTTCTTTCTTTTATCTTATTTTCTGTGAAGTTGTACGACTTTACAATACGAGATTCTCTTTCCATGACTCTAAATTTCAAACTCGTCTCATGGACTAGACAATGAAATATTTTATGAGAAAAGGAAGATCTTCCAAATATTTCAAACTATACATCAAATAAGATATCAGTTATATGTCATCTATTGTAATAACATCAAATTACACAAATTGCTTCGCATACATATGTGTAGGAACAAGATATAATCTACTTAGAAATTATCGATTAATCCTCCTATCCTATTTGATTACGGCCTAAAAACTCAGCAATCTTAAGGAATAGTTAATTATCAATATCTGAAATTCTGCGTCATCGCGTTTTTCTTCAAAGTACCAATACCTTTTTATTAATTTGTATATATTTTGTGTGTGTTTGTGTTGGCTATTCGTTCAAAGTTCAAACTCAAAAGTTGTTCTCGGAAATCTTGCTTTCATGTGTTGTGTTAAGTTAAAGCGAAACTGATATCATAGTTCGATATATCTATGTCTGTGATCTGAAAAGATTCTTAACTTTAACTAGCCTACATTGAAAAGAATCAAGCATTCATTTTTTCTTCTTCTTCTTCTTCAAAATAAGGCTAATCTATAGAGTAAATACCACCAAAAGTATTATAAACTGTCACAAGATATCAGCTTATATATATATATATATATATATATATATATATATATATATATATATATATATGTTATGTATTGTTATCGAGACAAAAGAACGAAGGTCTTCAGGGAAATCCGAGCTAGAAAAATGAAAGAACTGTAAGAAATGAAAAGAGACAAAAAAAAATAAAGCTCAAAATGAAATTGTGCAAGTTGTGTTTGGGTTTATTGTTGTTGGTGCATGTTGCCTGTGAAGTGAATCTCAGATATGAAGAATAAATTCAAAAAGCATGAAATTTTTGGGTTTCATTTAACATAAAATTCAATCTACTTTTGAAGAGTATTCTTGTCAGAGATGCATTTTCTATTGTCTATGCCGCCAGAAATAAAAAAATAAAGAAAAAGCAAAAGAAAGCTGGTAGCCTGGTTGCTAAATCTTGTGTTAAAAGATATGTCCTGATTTTATTCTACATATTACCTGGTTCGAGTTGCCGCTCGAACATTATCTTTCTCTATTCATAGAATATAGATTACCAAGTTTCTGTTCATTTGATATAGTATCTAATTAAAAGAAGACGTTTAGCCACATATAGAGAGATCAATGAAGAAGGAGGAATATGTTTGTTGTTTGGTTTTTGGAACTAAAAAGTTATAGCAGCTTTGAGTTTGAATCAGGATCATAGCAACATGATCATGAATCATTTCTATAACCATCCCTACTATGTGATATGATTAATTCACAAGCATGCAAAGATATTTGGAAAAAAATTAAGATCATAGAGTGATATGAACAGAGATGTTTAAAGTGAAAAAAGGTTTTCTCACTATTTTTCATTCAATCATTTTTTTTATTCAATGTTGAAATGATTGAAAAGAAGAAGAAGCAAACTTGGATTTAAACTTAAGAAGCTAGATACACTTAAATAGTCATTTATAATGCTAGATAAGACAATGACTTTTTTTTATTGTGAAATTAAGTAATAAAGTCTCTAGAAGCGATCAATGATCCTGAGCAGAGCTTGAGTCAACGCCAAGTAAACCTCTGTTTGGTAACGGAAACTCGAGGGTAAATCAAAATTGAGTGTCACGAGATTGGCACGGCACGAGACGGGAGGAGCCTCAACTGTCACGCTTACGTCATACGCAGCCTTGTCGTAATCTCCAGCTATCAAGTGAGCGTCTGCCTTTCCCACGCCACGCTTAGCCGTCGCGTAACCCAAACCACACTGCTTCAACGCGTCTGCAGCCTTGGGATCTTGGGGGTGCATCGAGGCCAAAGTGGAAGTGTTGTTGGTGAGGGTTATGAGGTGAGTGTTGACGCATCTGAGGATGATTCTAGCTAGTTGTACTTGGTCTGCTTTTGGAGAAGTTGGGTCTGAGCTCAGACAGCGAAGACATAAGGTGGGATTGTCGGAGTTGTGACATAGTTGCATCATTAGCTCTTCGTTGGCTCTGGAGATTACCAATATAGTAACAAGTGTGGTGAGGAGAAGAAGCTTTGTTGTAATAGAAGAAGACTTCATCTTTAGTTTCATGATATATTTAGTAATATTACACTCTTTTTTTCACTGTTTGGTAAGTGTTAACTACCGTTTGTCTATGGTCTTACGTTCTTTAAGTACTCTTATGAATTCGTAACGTTCGTAAGTAAAAATATATTGTCTATAATCCCATTGGGTGCATCATGTTTGTTGGTGACATGTGTTGAAAACGTTACGAGCTTGGTAATAAACTCAACAAAACGTGAGTGGTGTATGTTGTGTTCTTTTCAACAATGGTTATATCTGCAACTGGAATGCTATTTTGTAAAATAAAATCACTTTGAATGTATCGTTTCATTGAATTTCATAAAATATTTCCCAGTTAAACTTATTTTAAAACAATTCTACGTATTTATTTTTTTTGGAATAAAACAAAAAAAAAACAGGGGATGTGTAGAATTCACCATATCATTAACAATTTTGATTTTTATTCATTTTATTTATCAATCAAATATTCTATTCCACAAATAACCAAAAAATGTATTTCCTGATAATATATTTATTTAAATATTTATTAACCAAATTATAATGTTGAAACTATTTTTTGTTGTTGTTTGCTGCCAATCTAAATTAAAGCAAGTAGAAGCAGACGAGCCGATTCTCCTAAGAGCATCTCTGTCTGTTCGGGTCTGATTCGATATGGGAGAAAATGTAGCCTCTGCTTCTTGCTTCTTTCACTAAAGCGTCCGCTCGACTATTTCGACTCTGAGGAATGTGAGACAGATTCATATGCTCAAAATCCTCTTGTAGTCTCTGGAACACTTCAATTTCTCTTGCGAAAGTCGGCAAGTCTGTCGAGTCTGTAGTCATGTCCACCAGGTCCGAGCAGTCTGTCTCAATTCGTATCGAGGTTATCTCTCATATTTCTCATACATGAGACCGTCCAAAGTAGGTCTTCCCTCTCTGCATGCAGAGCTCAGAGACTCCTCCTACATGTCTTTAATCCGTAAAACTCAGAGCCCATATAATCCTTAAGACTCCACCTTATGCCACTAACACTCCCATTATTGATCTATGACGCATCAATTTGGCATGTAGAGATTCGAGGTATCCAAGGTGGGCCTGACTCCGCCTCTGTAGCGAGAGGGTCGTCATGCTCTTCGTTGACCTCTTCTTTTTCATTTGCCTTTCTCCAACATTCAGTCTCAGTGGAAGCAAGTTGAAGTGTGTCTATCGGGGATACGACTTTCTCATTAAAGAGTTTGTCATTCTTTGCTTTCCAAATGTACCAGCAGATCCATGAAAAAATATCGAATTGTGGTCTCAAGGGACCCACTTCTTTTCTCTTCTGAAATAGGAAGTTAATGTTTTGGTATATAGATGTACTCGGGAAGTCACCCGAAATAGACGGATAGTCCAATAAAGCCCAAACCTGCAAGGCTGAGAGACATTTAAAAAGAAGATGATTAATCGACTCCACTGGGCCAGCACATCTAGGACAACTCCTATCGGTGCCCAAGTGTCTGTAAATGAGCCTCTCTGTCGTCGCCATACAGCCAGAGATGGCCTGCCAGAAAAAATGTTTCATCTTGCTCAGAGCCTTGATCTTCCACACATGGCTCTGGAGCCTCGTGGTACTCGGCTCTAGAACACATCCTTGAGTAAACATATCATAACCAGTTTTTACTGAATACACTCCTGATTTGTGTGATTCCAAACACATCTATCCAAAGAAAAAGTGCGAGAAGGTCTTAACTCTAATATCAAAGGGATATCATCTGGGTGAAAACTACTTAACAATAATTATAAAAATGTTTCGTCGTCGCCAAACGATAACGTCAAAATCCACCGAATTTTTGAGGTCATAGGCTAACCCCTATGAATTTTTGAAAATTTCAAAAAATACATTCCTTCCTAATATAATTATTTAGAGACTCATTCGCCAATTATAATGTTGAAACTGCTTAACAATCGTTTTGAAAATGTTTCGTCGTCTTTTGAAGATATCGTCAAAATCCACCAAAATTTTTGAGGTCGTGGGCTAATCCCTTTGAATTTTTGAAAATTTCAAAATTGGTATTCCTTCCTATTATACTTGTTTAAAGACCCATTAACCAAACTTTAGTGTTGAAACTATTTAACAATCGTTTTGAAAATATTTCGCAGTCCTTTGAAGATAACGTCAAAATCCACCAAATTTTCGAGGTCGTGGGCTAACCCCTATGAATTTTTGCAAAATATCAAAAACTATATTCCTTGCTAGTATACTTGATAAAAGACCCATTAACCAAATTATAGTGTTGAAACTGCTTAATAATTATTTTGAAAATGTTTCGTCATCTCCAGAGGATAACCTTAAAATTCACAAATGTTTTCGAGGCTGTGGGCCCTAGGAATAATCGTTTTAAAAATGTTTTGTCTTCCTTTGAAAATAATGTTAAAAGTCACCAAATTTCTGAGGTTGTGGGCTAACTAACCTTTATGAATTTTTGAAAAATTTTAAAAACATATCCCTTGCTTGTATATTTATTTAAAGACCCATCAAATAATTTATTGTGTTTAATTGCTTAACAAAAGGGTTAGTCCACGACCTCAAAAATTTTGGTGGATTTTGATGTTATCTTCAAAAGACGATGAAACATTTTCAAAACGATTGTTAAGCAGTTTCAACACTAAAATTTGGTGAATGGGTCTTTAAATAAGTGTATTAAGAAGAAATATATTTTAAAAAATTTCAAAAATTCATAAGAGCTAGCACACGATTTCGAAAATTTGGTGAATTTTGACGTCATCCTCTGGCAAAGATGGAAACATTTTCAAAATATTGTTAAACAGTTTTAACACAATAATTTGGTTAGTAGATATTTAAATAAGTATACTAGCAAAAAACTACATTTCAATGCTTACAACTGGGTGAGATATATACATTGGTAGGAAAGGAACTTGGAAGGAGTTGAGTATCATTGGAAGCAAACAAAGTTATTGATAAGTCAGCAAATAGAGAAATCAATCACATAATCCCTTTGTATTTTTGTTTAATACACCACATTGTATTACCAATCTTCTCCATAAAGATTATGTAAACTCATCTTCTGATTAATGAAATAATGAAGTTACAAAAGAAAAAAAAAAAACTATCGTCACTATAAAAAACAAACTCGTCTTAAAACAAAATCTCTCGTCAATCATGGGCCATTTTATGTCCACGCTTAAAAATAATAAAGCGTTTATGGGCCATATATGAACTTATTATCCCATGGGCCAACGGAGCCGAGCCATTGTTTTGATTTGATGACCGTTAGAATCAAAGGACAAAATCGTAAATGCATAAAACTAGCCGTTACCAAAAGAAAGAGCCACAAGTTTCGCCGCTTTATTTAAAAACCACAACTACAACGCTCCTCTCCTCCACCTCTATATCGCTGTTTACTTCCAATGGCCTCAGATCAGAGCACGAACCCACCAATCATGGAGTCAAAGCCTCGACACCCTCTTCACCAAATCGCCGACACGCCAACACACAAGCTCCTCCTCAAACAATGGCTTAAAGAAGAAGAGCTCATCCTCAACCGCGTCTCACACAAAGAGTCTCAGATCGATTCAGTTCGACGAGAGATCACTCAGCTCTACATCTTCTTCTTCCTCTTCCACTCCATCTCTCTCCTTCTCCTCTTCCACGCCTCTTCCTCCTCTTCTTCATCTACGTGTAAGAGATCATGGATCCCTTCTCTATCTGCTCTCGTCTCTTCACTTGGGATCATCTGGGCCGTACGGTACAAGTCTGAAGTGGAGTCTCATCTTGAGAAGTTGTTGGAGAGGGAGAAGGAAGATGCGAAGCTGTTGCGTAAGTGTGTTGAGGAGTTGAAGAAGAAAGGGGTTGAGTTTGATTTGCTCAAGGAAGTGGATGCTCTGCGCAGGGCGAAGAGCTTGAGGGTTGAGTCTAAGGTCGTGAGGAAATGGTCTGCGAGGGATTTTGTGACGCTTTTCTTCTTCTCTGTTTCGTGTTTGGTTCTTGCAATGATTAGGCTCATTCTCTGTGACTAGATTGTGTTTTGATCTATTGCCTCTCTTGATTCCCTTTTGTTATACTTTACTGTTTGATTCAGCAGAATTCTCTTGTTTCTGCATATATGTTCTTGTACTTTTTTAGATAATAATATTTTTTTCTTAATATAAAAATATATCAAAATTAAATTATCCACAAAAACACCAATTATAGTTATGCTTAATATAAGAAGAAAAATATGTTTGAGTTGATTAAAAAAAAAGAAGAAGAAAGATATGATCTTTTCTCTCTTACTTTTGCCTTTTGTCATACTTTACTTTCTGATTCAGCAGAATTCTCTTTTTCTGCAATTTTTTGTACTTTTTTAGATAATAGTTTTTTTTCTTAATCTAAAAATATATCACAATCAAATTATTCACAAAAACACCAATTATTGTTATGCTTAATATAAGAAGAAAAATATGTTTGAGTTGATAAAAACAAAAATGGTAGATCCTCTTTGTTCAGTCTTACATAATATACCTGATAAATAAACTATTAATCTTGTTCTTAGTTTAGAACAGTCTTTTATGTCAAAAATAAAAAATCTTGTTCTTTAGTTAAAATATAGATTCAGTAATAGAGAATCTGAATATAATTTCTGCTGTCAAAGCAAAAACATATAATCATAAACATTTTAAGGTATCCAACAAAATTTGGTAATTTATTGACCTAAAATATAAAAATGAACCTTCTTTACTTTAAGAGATTCAAAACTATAATATCTGATATAGTTAAATCCAGTGGCGGAGCTAGCCTTTGATTTTATAGGGGTCATAAAAAAATTATTATAGCTAAAAAGGTATGTTAGAGGTTTGAACTCATGACGTAGGGGGGTCAAAAGGAGGCATTTTAACCACTACACCACAACAATTACATGGGAAACAGGCATAAAACTTAAATTTGATAGATTTCATAGGGGTCAAGTGACCCCGTCCCTTTAGTCCCTTTAACGTGGCTCCGCCACTGGTTAAATCTATATAAGAAAAAAAAGATTGGCATGTGGTCTATTCATCATCATCTTGTGACTTATTTTTCTTCTTCTTCTTTTTCTTCTTTTTCTTCTCTGAGACCTCTACTGCTTTTACTTCTCCCTCATCTACAAAGAGAGAACACACTCACAGTTTGACATCAAAACTTAAAAGAGGGATAGAAAGACTGTGTTACTAAAGTGAGATGATACCTTTCTTCTCAAGACTTTCCAACACTTCTTTCATTACATCCACATTCTTACGTGGGGCAGCACCTTTATCATAAAACTCTAGTCGTTCCTCCACTTGTTCCCTAAGTTTCTCACCATAAGCTGTAGTGCTGCTATCTGCATAAAATATCACCATTGTTTATCAATTAAACAACACATCATCTCACAAACATCAAGTCAATTATTCACAACATTCAAATATTATACCAGCGAAACAATCAATCCGGGAAGCAACTGAACACTTGTTTGAGAGGTAACGAGCAATACGTCCCTTGTCTTTAGCAGATGCACGCCCTATCAATGAAGACTGGAATATCAGACCATACTTGGGTGTGTTTCCACGTGTCTTCAGCGCCCTGAAAAGTGCTTTCTCAGCACCAAGAATCTGGAGAGTAGAAGATGGACACTTGGCAAGATTTGTCAGACTTCCAGCATGTGATATCAACCTTGCCCCAACCATCTCTCCTATCAAGGCAGCTAAATTGGGAGCAATGTCACTCATTTTAGCAACAAGGTAATCATAGAGCTTCTTTCTGTAATCAGCCAAGTCCATAACTCTCTGAGCAAAGCTTTGGACGTTGATCAAATCCAACGGTGATAAATCCTGGCCTGTAAACATGGTAAATAGATTAGATCAAATCAGAAGCTCACAGAGCAAGGATTCATGAGATTATTACCCATAGATGCTTTCCCAGCTTCAACAACCTCTCTAGCCTTATCTTCATCCCCAAGGATTTCAGTAAGCATAGGGATGTGGTCTTCAGACAACTTTGACTTGTCTTCAATAACTTTTGAAACTCGTGCATAAAGGTAGTTGTCATTGACTATCTTGACTAGCTCAGGGAAGTGCCACGAGTAACATTCTCTACAAAAAAAAAAAAACATAACATAAGCTACTCGTAATAAACAAGACATAATCTAAAAAGATAAAACAACAGAAACAAACCTGACTCTCATGGCAAAGGAGTTTATATCTTTATCAAGAGTGTCGAGAAGGAAAATGGCTTGAATAACCATGTTGTCTACACGGTTAACATTGAACTTAACTTTTGCTCTGCTGTAGCTGTGAGCTAATCCAAGTTGCGCTTTCTCCAAATCACCAGGCTGAAGTATTAAATAACATGACACTGAGCATGAAGAGCAAACACTAGAGAGAAAGAGGTAGGTTAACTCAATAAGTCCATACCTTTAGGTCCTTGATGAACCTATCAAAGTGCTGACGCACACCTCTAAGAAGCTCGTGAACAAACTCATTGCTCTGGCAAGGAATTTTTGTGGCTTCAAAGATGCAAGAGCCGATCTTTGGCTCAGACACTCCTAAGCTAAACTTGGGAGTCTTTCCTTCTTTCACTTTCGGAAGATTTAACTCCAGAAAGCTTCTCAGCTCATCAGTCATATACCCTTCAAGTTTTGAAGCAAACCCAAAGCTAATTATCAGGCAAAAATAACCAAAACAGAGCAAGCTTATTCTAAATGTAGTTAAAAGTGCAAAATTTGTTTCAGTAATAAACAAAACAGAGCAAGCTTATTCTAACTGTAGTTAAAAGTGCAAATTTGGTTTCAATTAAAAAAACAGAGCAAGCTTATTCCAACTGTTTAAAGTGTTAACTTTGTTTCAAGCCAATCCAAAACAGAGCAAGTTTATTCTAACAGTAGTTAAAAGTGCAAATTTTGTTTCAATAATAATAAAAAAAAAAAACAGAGCAAGCTTATTCCAACTGTTTAAAGTGTTAACTTTGTTTCAAGCCAATCCAAAACAGAGCAAGCTTATTCCAACTGTTTAAAGTGTTAACTTTGTTTCAAGCCAATCCAAAACAGAGCAAGTTTATTCTAACTGTAGTTAAAAGTGCAAACTTTGTTTCAATAATAAAAAAAAACAGAGCAAACTTATTCTAACTGTAGTTAAAAATGTGAACTTTGTTTCAAGCTAAACCAAAACAGAGCAAGCTTATTCTAATTGTATTAAGATGTCTAAACTTTGTTTCAAAAAAAACAGAGTAAGCTCACTTTAACTAAAGTAAGATGTGTGAACTCTGTTTCAAGCAAAACCAAAACAGAGCAAGCTTCTTGAGAGACAAAGTAAGACTCGTGCAGGAAGATAAAAGGGGAAAGACTTCTACTTTAATGAAGGGTTACCTTCAGAGACGGCATTGATTTGATTGAGAGCATCGAGTGCAGACTCAAATGGGTGGAAAGCAGTGAGCTGGACAACTCGTCCGAACCGACTTAGGTCCGAAACAGAGCTTCGAACCGCCTCCGTGTTCTGTCCAATCTCATCAAGGCCGTGTGCCTCAAACAAGCCATACCCGGAAGATGATTCGTAGAGTAGATACAACGCCATTGTGCAGATAAGCTAAAACCCTTAACCGCCGTGTCTGTTTTAATTGAGAGACGAATATTTATGCAGTTTTAGTTTTGTAGAAGAATTAGAAATTAGGGTTTAAGGTTATTTTTGCAAGCAAGAGGATTGACTTTTCCCTCGTATTTATTTAGTGGGCCTTGGCTCATTAAATCATTGTAAGACGTGTGAAATAAGTTAGGTGTTGCCTGGACCAATTGGGTTTCTGAGATGCCTAGGCGGTCTAAGCGAAGGAAATCCATGTTTCCGGCCGCCATTTCATTAAGTGTTTAATCGGCCACATGGTTAGGTATGCCCTAATCACATGAGAGGACTCGGATTCAACCTCATTATGTGCATAGTTTTTTTTTTTTTTTTATTCAGCCAATTTTTTATTTTGGGTTTGTGGTAGAGGTGGACATTTCGGTTTTACTACGGGTTCGGTTTGGTTTGAGTTATTTGGATTTAAGAAAACTTTAACCAAAGTCAATCCATATTAGTTTGGTTTGGTTTATGTTCAGTTTAGTTCGGTTTTAGTGTGGTTTGGTGTGTGTTCGGTTCGGTTTTACTTCAGTTTGGTTTGTGTTTGATTCGGTTTAATATAATTTTGTTTGTATTTTTCAATTCATTCGAATTGATTTTTTAGTTTTGTTATAGTTCAATTATAAAAATATAATTTATAAAAACATTAAGAAATCATCATTTGACACTAAATCATTGTTTTTCCATATTTAATTATAAAATCAAACATCTTAAAAAATAATTAGAAGATGTAACCCAATAATTTTATATTTTTATCTTCAAACTCAATATAAAATCATAAAATAATTTGGTTTTGATGTTAATGTATAGATTCATATTTTTTAGTTTTGTTTATTCTACTCATTTATAAGTAAATGTATAAATTATTTTTTTATTTTTGTTAAATGGTTAAATATATTAAATCTAATATTTTTATTATGTTTAATTAATCTAATTTAAAAATACTTCGATTTTTTGGTTTGGTTCGATTTAAAACAAAACTAAACCGAACCATTCGGGTTTATAAAATCCTGAACCAGCTAGTTTAGACATATACCTTTGTTCGGTTTGGATTCGGTTGGGTTGGATCGGTTTGGTTTGGTTTGGTTCGAGTTTTTTGCGCATTCCTAGTTTGTGGCCTTAAAAAACCTAGGACTTCTTGCTGAAATGCGGTGCTAACTTTCTCACTTCCATATGATCTAGTAATCAGGCCAGGCTCTTTACTTTGTTCAGTTATGGTTGGGCTTTCATTTAAAAATCTGAGCCTGTAGACATTTTGTTAAACGTTGCAATCTTAGACAATCTCAATAGTAAACGCAAAAAGAAATCAAAGAACACTAAAAAGAGACGATTGTGAAAAGTAAACGTTGATCCAACTTTAATCAAAACACGAGCACACGACCAACCCATTAAGAATAGTAATGCTTTGTCATAGAAACGATGTAGAGGAGGGTGATGAGTCAGAAAAACGTCATTTCGATTACCAAAAAGTTTGAAAAAACATAAAGACAAAGGTGGAAAGAAAAAAAAAGAAGACAAAGGTGGAGTCAAGGGACAAGAGTGAGGTCACTATACCCTAGAAGCTACGGCCAATGTGGGCACCGTCCACTTTGAAACTGAATTATCATTATGGACCACAATGTTGAAAAATATTGCATTTCTATTTATTTTTCTCTATTCCGTACTTATCACTTTCTGTATTTCATCAAGAAAAATCTTTTTTTTTTTTTTTGAAACACGGAAAAGTATGCGAGAGTGTCGTGTGGCTGTCCTGCGTACGGATGTACGCTTGGAGGTTGTCTCTGTAAATTTTGGAGTCAAACACATTAACGTTTCCAATAGTTATGTTCGTGGAAAGTCTAGCCATTGCTCTTTCAGAAGACTTTTTTTCGGTTCTTCGTTTCACCAAACCAATCAATTTATATTCAATGCGTGTTAATGTAGAGCCATAGAGGAATGAATAAATTGTCTGCTTTCTACAACTACTTCAAGAAGACTATTAATTACTATATTTGCTAGAACTTTCTATGTATGTAAAATGTCCATGGATTTTATTTCTACAGAATCGTCTTCTTGGATTTTTCAAGTCGTGTAAGTAAGTCTCTGTCTTTCAACGACAGTATTTTTTTTTTTTTAAGATTCTTGTAACAAATAGTTGCAAGTAAAAGCTGAAATATACTACAGTAGCACTAGCACATAGTTTCAGGCCAGCTAGTTGAAAATTCTATATTTACTTGTAAACAAGAAAAAGTCATTTGAGTTTATCGAATATATTGTGATAAGTAAAGTTATGAAACTAAGTGAAATTTATCAATTAAAAGAATTATCAATTTTATGCGACTGAGGTATTGATGAAATGATTGAAACCTACTTACTTGCCAACTTGAATTTTATCAATATTTTGCCAAAAAAAAATAGCATTCAAGAGTCAGACCAGAGCTGTGACAAAAAAGAAAGTGGAGTATACGGTGGTTTTCGCATTATTACCAAAGCGTATAGGATGGTATTTATTATATATTTTTAGCCAGCAATTGATGACTAAAGAGACAATATTTTTCGACCATAAAAAGAGAAAACATACTCGAAATTTTTCTGTTCTCTTTCATTTGATTTTTTTCTTAAATTTGTTGGTCTTTATTTTCACTCAATATATAATAGAAGACCAAAAATTTAAGAAAAAAGCAAATGAAAGAGACTAGAAACAAACGGCTTGTAACTAAAACAATATATTGATCACTTCGAGTGCTTTGGTGTTACATTACTGAACTATATATCTTATAAAGATTAAAGCATAGAAGTTTTAGTTGCAAATTCTTTTATAATTTCATTTTATTAATCTGCATATATAACACTAAATTGTAATATATAGAAATCAAATCTCAAACCACTCACTACAAAAATATTAACAATTTTCAGTCAAACTATTGCAATAATGTAACTTCCATGAATCACACTTATCATTCTTTAATCTATTATATTCACATTAAATATATCGTGAAGAAAAGTCACGTTAGTTTGTACGGTATGACACGTAAGGGAGAAAAAGACGTTGGAGTGGGTTAGGTTAACCTGTACGACTGCACCGTACGGATATTTATTCAGTTTATTTATATAATCCCAAATTGGTTCCCACAGAACTCCTTTCACGTGACGCCATTCCCCTCTTTATTACTAGTATTTACTTCTCTTATCTACCAAATTGATTCAAATATTCAATACTCTTTACGATTACGACTATGTGCTTATCAATATAGTAACATTGGCCGCGTCTGTATTGGTGTTATTTAAACGAATAAATCAAATCTGATAGAAAAAAACTAGTTTTGGCATTACCAATACCAAGTAATGTAGTTTATTACATTCGGTGACATACATACTCGTTAATGATGCCATAGCGCGTACCGCGTTACAGCTAACCAATCAGAGTGAAGTTTCAAGCTGTTGACGTGTATCTCAATAATGCATCCTTATAACCTTTGCCGTTGGAATAATATTCTCTGTTATATGTGTTTTGCATAAACTAATACGTTTGATTACCTGTCTTACTACTTTATTAATCACATCCCATTTCCTTCTCTTATTTTTATACTATATAGTTTGAGCATCAGATGCTTGTTTCTTTGCATAGCTTTAATATTCTTTATATCTATCTGTTAATGTTGGATTATTGATTATTAATCATTTCAGTACTTAAATTATCAACCAAAATATCATTGACCAACTGACTACCAATCAGGAAAATTAACCGGTTACTTGCATTATTTAAAAATAAAATAGCTTTTATCAGTTTTCTCTTGGATAAGTAAAATTACAGCAGATAGTTTATTAATTACTGCATGATACAAGCTGTCTTTTTAGATTGGAATAGCAGTTTATATAGTTAGACTGAAAAAGTATTTCTCAATCTAAAACTATAATCAGTGGTCATACTGAAAATGAAACTACGTATGGTTTGAGCATTTCCAACTCTTCAAAAAATTGAATCAAAAATATTACGAAACTGAAGAATGAGTCGTAAAGGAATCAACTGCTTCACGTACGAGAGCTTGATATAGTTTGGTAGATACAGTGTCCACCCGACCTAGCTAGCTGCTTCTTTGGTTTTATTGCTTCCTTTTCCATAAGTATATTACAGCCTAAACGAAATTATCTATTATAATATAGCTAAACTACGTACATATCATCAAGTTAAGTTTAATTGTGGTGAAACCTTAAACATTGCGTGGGAATTTGAAATTTATAAAATTGGACGAAGCATTCAAAACATGCATGGCAGTATTCTAATATTTATAGTTTGATTAATCCACATGTGGCATGGTTATTTAAAAGGTATAGCTTTCAATAAAGTTAGGAGTCTAAAGGGGTCTAAACAGAACTGGGTCTAAAGTTGCAACCCCCAAGTTGAGAAAGGGGACATACACTTTTGATAAGCAGAGAAAATGAGGTCACATCATATTCATATCCTTGTCATTAAAGCTCTAATCTTTACAGAATGGAGAATAATCCTATACAGCAATCCTACTTTTTTACCCAAAGAAAAAAATCCTACTTTACTTTTTCTCTCTTTAACATACACACATGATGATGTGTCCTTCATGAAATCCACGCACTGCATTTTACAATGATTCATTTATTCTATATAATAGTATAATTCTGATAATTCCACGCGCCAATCTATTTTTTAAATGTAGAATATGGGAACGTATATATGTGAAAGTGTCAAAAACAACATTCCATATATAGTTGGAAAAAAGCATTGCATTTTAAAATTTGGGCAATATCAGTTCTCAAAGTTCTAGAAAAACCAGCTCTCAAAGTCCCACCATAAATTTAAATTAATTTGTCACAATTAAAGGGTTGAGTAAATTGCATAGCCGGATGCTTTTTCTACAGGGTTACAAGTTATCTATTATGTCAACATTAATTAGTCTCATGATTTGTTGTCAAATATGACTCACTTGTCTATAGTTTGGCTCGTTTATAAGACGATACTATATTGTGTTTATTTTGTGAAGTGATAGATTTTTGTTTACGCCGGTGATTATAATTAGATTTCGAAAAATATATTACATGATGGAAACTTACAAGTAACTAAATTTTATTTTTTTAGTTTTCACTGATGGTTACGTGAGGGTCTGAAATGATCAGACGAAAATAAAATGAACAATGAAGTCTCCTAAGTCGTTGAGGGTCAGTATATACTTACCTAGCTAATTGTATATCTGACTTTTTCTTTTTTTTTTTTTTTTTTTTTT